TTTATGGATTGAACCTTGTCAACTCTATCGGACTGTCAACAGAGGATCGGGTTTCGTAGGCTTTATGCCCTTATTAGCGAATTCATATTGTTGTAGGCCTTGAAGGACTAATATGAATGTATTAAGAAAAATATCACGATCGTCACAATCGTATATTTGTTTGTTGGTTCGAACCCTGTCAACTTCTATTGACCCGTATAGAAGGATCAGTTTCGAACCTGAATTCACTTGTCAACCCGCGCAGCATCCTAGACGTCACGTGTGTACCAATAACACGCTCGCCGGGGTCCCTGCGGGTTTTATAATTATTTTTACCCCTTTTAGTGTACCTATGTGTATACAATTTATAGTGCACGTGCAGGGGTACTCTTGGAATAGACGCCTTCTGTCTGCTTGTACGGAGGTTGCAGATCCGGTGGCGTAGCAGCTTCTGTATAGAATTGTTCGCTGCTTCTTACAGGTAGACTGTCGTGCACTATTTGTTAATTTTTGTAGGCGGGTCATAATGCACTAACTAATCTCCTGCTTTGCATTGATTTCTTTATATGTTGATTGGAAGAATCTCCTATATTTGCTTGCATGCTGACTGATATCGATTGTTGAAGGATTATATGCCATTTTGAACTTGATGTTTGTGTATTCATCTAAAATACCTTCCTTCTTCGTGGTGGAATCATTTGCTTTTTCTTGTTCTTCGTCAACCTTCATTTGTGGTTAGCTGATTATTGAGTGTTGGAAAATCACTACACTAATCATATGATGGTTATTATTGTCCACAACTAGGTCATCGTATTCTTTACAACCATTATTGATTGTTAATGATGGATGAGCCTTGTTGAACATCATACATCTCCCACTGTCATGTGAAGATGGTTCAAATGTTGTGTAGCAAGCTTGCTTAATAACATGTTCATCCTAATCAATGTGACGACATATTGATATTTCAATGAAATTCATGTCTTGATTGCAACCATATTATTGTACTTTCCAATCAACCTTTTCTTATGGATAGATTGCATCCATTGTGTGTCTTCCATTTCAATTACTGTATTCATCTTGTAAACATAGATGATTTGAGTCTGGTTCATGGACGATTTAAAGGTCTTATAGTATCGTTGGTGATCAACATTACAACAATATTTGAAGAGAACTTTGAATCAATCATTGACAACCAAATTACACTCTTTTGTCACTTCGCTTTGATGATTTGTAGCCGAGACATGTTCAACTTTATCACTCACATTTGTTGGTGTCTCACTAAAACCATTAACTTCAATAATACACAGGTTTAATGTGATCATTTATAAATCTCCTTGATTTTGTTGTTCATGAGTGAGAAGTTAGTGAGTTCTTGCCAGGTGTCGGGCTGAACAGAGTTTTGGCTCTGTGTGTATGGAGTTGAAGGAGGAAGGGAGCAGGGCTTCTATTTAACGACGCGAACAGGCGACAATCGAGGAGCTGCCGCGGGATTTGCGGGATCAGACGCGAACGGCGCCACGTCTACAGTGTTTCAGCGAGATTCCCTGCGGGAATTCGGGAGATTTGGGCGGCTTCTCGACATATACGAGGTATGTCATTTTTGTTATTTCTTTCTCTTTTTGTTCTTTACACAGAGGTCAACATCCGTAACAAATTCCATCATAGATCAAGCAAATAGAAATTGTCATATAATTTATAAGTTTCACGGAAAAGTAGAATGTAATCAAAGGTCAACGCAGGCAGGTTTGAATCATTCTGAAGGCATTTAAAGCTTTGCCAAATCTAGACTCGAACATGTAATCAGGCTGGGGATTCAAGACCAAATTTGAACTTAATTTGGATCAAGACATATCAACACACTAACTAGTCAGATTTTTTTTGGCAAATCAGATAAATGGGGATATTTTAGCTTCATACCCAACCTGAAATGTTATAGGATTAGATTAGGTTAGGCCAGATGCTCAATTCAATATACAATGCATAAGTTAGGGCAAGCAGAAGTCATAGTCATGATATGAGATTATGAGATAATATTAGGATGAATTATCACGCACAAGATCAGCTAAAATTATCATAAAAACTCACATGGAGTGATCCATGTTGCTTTCGATTTGTTCCCCTACTTTGCACATGGTAGGCCTTGGATGTAAGCGACAAAACTTGCATAGCACTGATAGCAGCACTTATATTATCCTGTTTCAAGTATAGCTGTGCAACCTGCCTAGAGAAAAATGCTGCCTTGCGCTGATAACCAAGAGCTCCAAATAACCTAGCTATCTCAACATACAATATAAGGCAATCATTAGCATCAATCAGGGACTTTGCACCATCAGAAGCATTCATCAACAGTTCTACTACTTCCTTCACAACAAACCGCCTGCAAAATTAACATTACCACATCCAAAGTCTAAACAGATGAGAAATCAAAATTAGGTTCATTTAGAGGCTGTAATATAAACTTATTTGCATATAAACTTATTTGCATATATTAAGTCTAAACTTATTTGCATATATTAATAAGATTAAAATAATAAATTCCATGCCAGCAGAGAAATTATGGCAGGCCTAGAGCATGGTTTGGTGCCTGATAGGGAGTAGATGCGCTTTCAACCAAATCAGCGACGTAATGAGAAATCGGGAAGAAGAACACACCACAAATCTTTTTATTGCAAGAAATATGAAAGAAAATAGAAAGATACAATTGGATCTTCAATTGGAGAGGAAGATCCGGCTCTCCCAAATTCCTAGCCGCCGGCTAGAGCCCTCGCAACCTAAGAAAACCTAAATTCAGCAAACACCAACATAAAAACTGAACCCTAGCCTCCCAAAACTACTTAAAGCATACAAACAAAGCATATCCCTAATCAGCCCTTCCCAAACTGCTCTTCCCTCTTAACTGGTCCCTTCCCCATTCTAATTTCCCCTCCTTGGGCCCCACTCCAAGAGAGTGGAACTCATCCATGTGAAATTCATCCACCTACTGCTATATGCTTTGACCGGTCCAGGAGGGACCGGCCTAATGAACAGTCCAGGGGACCAATTTATCCGTGCTCCATTGTGAACGATTGAGATGCAGAAGGTCATGGTTTTGATTTTGGGAATAAGCTTTATTCAGTGAAATGATGAGCATATGTACATCAATCATTCCCTAGACGGCAGAAAAATTGAAGCCTCCAGCATAATCATTTTGTATGTTGCAAGGTTATACAATCAGATTGTAGAGTTACACCTCATTTAGACACACAAATTTGTTTCAAAGACAAGCAAGAAAGAGCTAAATAAATAATTACTAATGAAAATGTTAAAATATGTAATTTAGACTCTGGAAAAGCTCAACAAAAATGATTATGTTTTAAGTATGAGAGACAAAACTTGAAGTGAAAATTTACAGCCTAAAAGGGAAAAATCGTATGAAAGTTGGCTCTGCCTCAAATGCATTATAAGATTCCACAAATTACAAAGCCTTGAATTTTTCAATGAAAGCATCTCTTACGGAGCAAAACTCAGCTATTCATTGAGAGAGAGAGAGAGAGAGAGAGAGAGCGAGAGGGGGTGGAAGACATGGAATAGAAAAGCAAGCCTTGAATAGCTAACTATTTCATTCCATGGTTTAAAATTGCGCAATATGAGGCTCGCCTTGAGGCCCGCCTTTGCGCAATTTTAGTAAAAAACGCCTCGATGCTTACGCCTCGAGTTTTTGTTATGAGGCTTGCGCCTCAACTTGCTTGAGGCCCGCCTTAAGGCTTGCCCGCGGCCCACCTCGCCTCACTGGCATGAGGCTTATGCCTCACACTATATATATTAAAACTTACATACATCTTGAAGTAAATGCCCGACATTGGTTTACGCAATCTTTTGATTTTGAGGCTTACGCCTCAAAACGCCTTGAGGCTTACGCCTCGCCTCACGAATGAAAAACGCCTCAATACCCGAATACGCAATTTTAAACATTGTTTCATTCCACCAAAAATGATCTCAATATAGCCCTAGGAGTCCCATTTATAATAAAAGGAACCTTAAAGTTACAAGAAAATAAAACAGTGCGAAAATAAGGAAATAAATCCAAATGAAATAGATGTAATAATGCAAGAAATGAATCATAATGAAACAAATCTAAATATTCCCTAAATACAAATCTCTAAATAAAACTAGAAAATATTTATCACACCATCGATATCAAACATTAGTGTGGAATTTTTATTCGGCATCATTGAGCTTCTCACCAAAGTAAGCAGTAGGAAGGTTTTCTAATTCAATACAATGCCAATTCTTACCCTCGAAGCATCATATAAGTCTTTTAAAACTTTTGCAACATCAAAAGACCTAAGCATGGGGGACTCGATCATTCTAGCTTTGATAAGTTTAGGAGTCTATTTGAATTTATCATGCTTTAGGATTATACATTGAAGGAGTAACAATGGAACTAAAACCTCTGATAAAATGATGACTTTTTAACATCATAATTGTATTGCGAGTGAGGATGCTCAATAATAGCATTGAGTGTTATGGAACACTTTGCATTTTGTCAAAAGAAAATACGAAACAACAAAATAAAACTTGTGGCTAACAAAAAGTACACTTCTTTAGGTTAATAAATAACTTTCCAACAAATTGGCTCCAAAACAAAGCATAGATTGTTGAAGAATTTTGTCTAAAATATATTACAAAAGAGAATGCCATCAAAATAAATAACTAAAAAATTACCAACCAATTTTAAGAAATTGGTTGGCTCATAAAAGTATTAAGCACATTGGATAGCACAAATAACATCACTAGTCATTTTATACGCCAACATGCATCTTAAAAGATGTCTTCCACTCATCTCCATGATATTTTGGATATGGTAACAACCACACTTAAGATAGATCTTAGAGATGAACAAGTATGTCGAAATTAGATGTAACATATCATCTAATCAAATAATCAAGAACCTATTCCTAACCAAAATTTTGTTGATGACTCCAGCATGGACAAACATTCTATACAAATAGGAGTCCATAAGACAGTCATAAAACAATGACTCAAACATTCATGAATAAATCATTTTAATAGATGTCCATCAGCTTGTCATTTTAACTTAACAGGATCGTTCACCTTCACCCTATCGCGAGAAAGATCTGGTAATTTTGAAACCAGATCAATTGCATGTTGAATGTCAAGCAATAGTGGTAACTCATTGGAGAGGTTCTCTGGTGTCATCTTAAAATTTTCCAAGAGTTGGCTTCAATGGGAATTGGCTGCTTAACAATCTAGTGGTTTGCTTAGTGACTACGAGGATGGGTACTTAATATTCTTAATCCCATTTTTACAAATTCCTTAAGCCAGGGAATGTAACCTGTCTTTTCCTTTATGTTAGCAATCAAGTTTTTTCCTTTAGAGTAAGCTTTAGAGCCTTCTCAACAGGATTAAAGAAAATGAGTTTATTGGAAGCATACTTATGCATGTGTGTTTCTCATTTATTATGGATCAAATTTTGATCATATAATCAAAATTACCATGAAGGATATGTGATGCAAGCAAGAAACTAGGAAAACCCCTAATTTTGCAAGCATCCTAAAAGATTTCCTAGGTAAATAAGAAAATACAAGAAAAAACACAAAATACTACTTTTTATAATAAAAAGACACTTACAACTTTTGACGCTTACAAACTTTTAAAATAAAACAAACATCTAAACTTGCTTTCTTGGATCTAGAAGAAGGATACAATTGGAGTGGTCACATACGGAGAGAAGAAATAGATAAGAGGTCGAGACGAAATAGAACAATCTCGCAAGCTTTCCTAGAAGAGGAGTAAAAAAGGTGGAACAAGCTCGCAACCTTTCCAAGGAAACCTGCAGGTTTTTCTTTGGTATTCCAAAAATTACTTCATCATAACATCCTCTCTTTGCTTACAAAATATATTATATTTATAGGAGAAAAGAGGGCAGCTAAACATCCCATAATTACCCTAATTAAACCAAATAAAAGAGATAAAATGGAAGGTCAAGGGGCTGTCCATAAACAGCACCCAAACAGCCAGCATTCACTCCAAAACAACAGCTGAATAAGGCCACAGAGAACCGAAACCTGTAGCTAGGGGACCGGAACAGCCACCACGAGGAACAGGGTAAAGCAGCCACGGGACAGGCAAACTGGGAAGGAACCGAAGGAACAGAGCAGCCACGGGACAAACAGCTAGGGGAGGAACCGAAGGGGCAGGGACTCGAAACAACAGCCAGGGAAATGGGATGGATGGCCAGCAACCAAGGGAACCGAAACAGCAACCAGGCAGGAAAAACCGAAGAGACACAAAGAAGGGGAAAGGGAAATGCAGCCTTGGAGAGGGGAACTAGGTGGGGAAACCAAAGAGTCTTTAGAGAGGGGGGAATGAACCAACATAAATACTTAATTTATGAGCTTAATAAGTAGAGGCAAAGCATTTATGAGCTGATTTTTTAGTAGAGAAAAAACAAACTCACCAAAATTAAAACACAAAATATTTTGACCCCCCTTTGCCTACATCAATATGCCTGCATCCATTCGTAAAACATTACATCATATATTATCATTATAACTTCCTTGTTGGACCAAAATTAAAAATATTTACCACTAACAAGGTCTTACTAACCTAGGCTACATTAAATGGTTTAGAGTGTAGCTCAATGATGAGTTTGACTACTCGGTGGGACGATAATTTTATGTACCGAACAATACCGAGCAAAACTACTCGGTACAATAAACAAAGTAATAAAATTATCGTCCACCGAGTAAAACGTGGGCGGGGTAATTCATCCTCTACGGCATGAATGGTTGTATGTTCAAGAAACCATATCTGCAAAAAATAAGACAATTTAAATTTCTATTAGAATTTCAAAATTTACTATTACTCTGTGGGTTGCAGATCCTTTCAATCTTTGATAACATTTGATATCACATAGGAAAAGGAGGACAAGTGAAAGGGGTGGGGGGAGAGAGAGAGAGAGAGAGATATGAGATGAGGGAGGAGCCCTATCATGATGTAGAATAAAATCATCAAATTTATCTTGAGATCTAAAAAAAATTGGTTAAAAAACTTGAAATATTTTTATTATTTAAGAATTTTAAATTAAATAAAGTTATCGAGAGAGATTTATAATTTATTATAATGCGAGCTTGGTATAAATTATTGGAATTGCCTTGTGAAGCTTTAATATTATGTGTGAGCTAATTTTAGTCAACCATGACAAAATTTATTTATTGGAATATCAATGGTTAATTTCTATTTCAAATGCTTACTTTTTGGTGCTGCTCCAAAATGCTTGCAAGATCCATAAAACTCAACATCGTGGCTGGAAACTACTACACAACGCTTCAAATTCTATCATGGTGGTTGGGCCAAGAGAGAAGAATCCAACCATAGTTGGTGAAAATAAGTTGCAATTGGGAATGAATATGGATTACTTTTATTGGCTTTGATTAATGATTTGGCTTGGTGGCCAATTCCATCAAAGAGTTTGTTGGCTCCTCTATAAAAATATTATTAGAACTATTATAGTCCAAGCTTCCACACTTAACTATTTATGACTAAACTCCCTCAAACTCCCACCACATTCACATCATCTCATGTTTTCTTTTGATTGAGTAATTTTATGTACTCTAATATAATTGATGTATTATGGTCTTGTTTAGTCACTGTTTTTTCATGTAATTGCATAAGTTGTGATTATGTGAGTCATGTACTTGTGCTAGCCCAGTTGATTTCCTAAGAAATTTCCTTTATTTTGACCACATTTGACTCTCACCTCCCCTTTGGGTTACCACATCACCTTGTTGACTCTCCACCTCAGCTCCTCCTAAACATGTCACCCCATTTTCTCTATTTTAACCAAATCAAAAGCATAAAAAATCTTAGAAAGCAATTCTTCTTTATGGCCTATCCCTTAGAATCATACATAAACTATTCAAACCCCTCAAAATATCTTCAAAATTCATATCACCGTAATTTACCTCCCTTCAACAAGCCATGAACGTCCAACCTTTGGTTTTCTCTACATCTCTTAGACTACACGTGCAACACTGTAAATAACGGGTCTTAAATTCTTTTTAAATCACTTCTTGCTTAGTGAATGAATGAATACATTTTTCTTGCGTCATGTAAGTTATTTTATTCCTCTCGCTCTCAAGGAAAAGATCACACAATCCTTGAAGAAAGATTTCCAAGGAAGGAGAAATATCTACATGATGATTACTCGTGGAGATCAACATAAAGCTACGCCCACTCTATCCACATAATTGTTAACTCCATCATTTACCCTAGTCATGTTATCAATTTCTTCACCACCTTAAGGCTAGCAATCAAGATTCGTTACCATAGTCCCTTGCAAAGTATTATATTTTTTCACTGTTGTTCTTAGGGTTGCTTTGCTTATTCCATTATTAGTGCATTTCCTCACCTTAAGCAATCAAGATTACTTACCTAAGGACAATTGATGAAGTACTCAAATTGTTTGCATTGCATATGCACTAATTGCCCTACAGCAGGGAACCCTAGGGTTACAAGAAAAAAAAAAACAGGAAAAAATATGAAAATAAACCTTAATGAAATAAATGTAATAAGATAGAAAATAAACAATAATGAAACATATCCAAATAACCTTTCCCCAGGTGATTGCACTCATTTCAACCAAAACAAACTTTCAAAAGTTAGCTGGATGACCATCGTCAAAAAGTAGAGCAAACAAAAGAACTTGAATAGAAATCAAGGTGCTTCCTCCATGTTGCATTGGGCCCTCAAGCAGGGCAACATGATGTGCTATGCCTGATGACTTGATAATAACTTGATGATAAAAAAATCAATATATGATATTATGTATGAATTAAAATAGTAAATGCAGGATGTTTGCATCACCCACAAAACTTTTGAGCTGTGACTAAGAAAATAAATTTGAGGTCAAAATATAAGGTTAACAAAGTACAATGACATCCATCATTTGCCAAATGGAGGTGGATACAACACCAACCGATACCTATTTGCTTCATTAACCCTTTTTGTTGCATTAAAAGAAGATATTGCACAAGTATGAATGGTCTTTTCATTGTCTTCCTCATCTATCCTCTTATTTTTGGTCCGAGTCATCAATATTTCAATCCTTTATTTATTTTCTCATTGTTCCTAAATTCCCTTCCCTTGTCCTTTTTCTTTCTTTCTTTCCTCTTCCTCCCTTTTGACTCTATTATATGCTAGCCAGACTAAAAACAAAGAGTTAAGGATGGGAAGCGTAGTGGAAAAGAAAGGATTACTGGAAAATATATTAAGGAAAACAAGTTAAGGCCTCTTTTAAGAAGATGAGCATTTTATTCAGAATTATGGAATCAAGTGTATGCTTGAGCGCTTTAAGGTTTATTATGCAGTATTAACAGCATGTAACAATGTGCTTGATTTATTTGCTAAGAATCTATTTTCAAAAATTCAATTCCTATTTTATTTTCTGCAGAGAGCAGCCCATAATTCCTTTTTATTAAATGCACATACTTCCTTTTTATTAAATGCGATAAGAAAGAAAGCATCAATTGATAATTTTTTGGTGTTTCCAAATGCAACTCCAATCTCACATATACTAATAAAACAATTGAGATTGCCCGCCTTACAACATTTTTGCTAGGAAGGAGAGCACATGCAGGAACTTAAAAAGGCATCTCTACATTCAAATTTTAAACAAAAAACTTCAGATTCTAGTTCAAGAAATTGTAATCCCTATTTAACTACTCTGCATATAAAAACTTCACTTGATCCACAGAACCCAGCAGTACCTAGAGCACAGCCTTGGTGTGCTTGAGAATTAAAACTTGACTACAGAGACTAATAACTACTGAATCATTCCTAAGTGTTTAAATCAAACTTGATTTCCCAAATATAATGCATACCAAATTGATTTAATTCTTCTAGGATTGCCTAAGAGAAAACTCATAAAGGGATATAATAGAAAAATTAACAACTAAAACTAAATTATAATGGAAAGCTTTTCAAGTTTCATGCAAGCTTTTTCCGTGTCACAACTGTATTGATGAGGTTTTCTTAAAAAGAAATAAAGGGTGATTGGGGTGATTTGGAAATTCAATTTGCATATCGAAAGTGGAGAACAGTCATAGAAGAGAATGTACAAGTTCTCACCTGCAGAGGTACCTGGCTAGCTTTAGTTGAGCTTCAAGCTCAAAGGTCGCTGTTGAAACCCTGAAAAATGTGAAAATAAACATTTTATCATTTAACAAATAACATGATTTTGAGAAATAAACCTAAATTCATAATTCGAGTGGAAGGAAAGGATAATATTCCAAATTATTTACAGAAAGAATGAATCGAAGCAGATCCCTCTCAGATTTGAGAAGAAATGTGCCATAACCGCAAGTAACAAGAACAACATGAAAATACACTAACAGGAACAACAAGAGAATACACAGCAATGGACAACAACCGGAAAAATAAGTGCAGCAGTGGGAATACATCAACAGCAGCACAATGAAAAACTTCCCGAGTTGAAACTTTTGAACTTCATCTGTTCACATTGGAATTTCATTGGCGTTGAAACTATTCAGTACGGAGTTACTATTAATCAACTTTTCAAAACATTAAGAGCAAATTCCACTTGCAACGAGTCAAAAGCAAAGCAAATTTTACACAGCATAATTCAAACAAAAGTAAAATACAATGGTAGAACTCATGTGGATCATCACTTTCTTTGTTTGTAGATATAGATATAAACCATAGCATGCAGTATGGTCAGTGTTCTGTTGTGTTTTGTTGTGTTTTTCTCATAAATTAATACGATATTGTAAAGCTACTTACATTGTTAACTAATTTTTGAATTTGATTCCTAGCAGACTAAGGTATCTTCAATAGTTCTTAGTACCTTGCCTTCTAAAGTTATCACCAACTGCCTCTGATTAATCACAGTCAAGCAAGAGCTTCGTATAGAATTTATTAGATTTGGTCCGCTACCTGCAATGCTTTATGGTGCTGAATGTTGGCCATTAAAAGAGAAGCATTAATACTAAGTTAAGTGTTGCAGAGATAGATGAGGATGCTTAGGTGGATAAGTGGCTTTACCCTTAGAGATAGGATACGAAATGACCATATACATGAAAAGGTTGGAGTAGCTCCAGTGGAAGATAAGATTAGATAGAGTCGCCTTAGATGGTTTGGTCACATTAAACGGAGGCCTTCTGATGACCAGGTTAGAAAAGTTGAGGTATTAGATTTGACTTATGTTAAGAAAGGTAGAGGTAGACCTAAAAAGACTTGGTTAGAATATATTAGAAATGATCTTTCTTTATTAGATTTAAATGAGAATTTGACTTTTAACAGGACACAATGACAAAAAAGGATTCATGTAGCCGACCCCACGTAGTGTGACAAAGGCTTGATGTTGTTGTTGTTGTTGGTCTGCTTGTTATATCAAACTATAATCTTCAAGAATGCCTTAAAAATCTATAACGTGCTATTCTTGTTTCTAAATACTAAATATGACAGAATTAAGGTAATATTGCATATAAAAATAAAAAACCAATGTTCCATGCGCTAAAACTAATTGAAAAGGACTAAAAATTTCATAATAAAAAACCCATAGGAAAATACCTGATTTAATTTATCTATAATACTAAAACATGTTTTAGCACTACCCGTGTAAGCCACTCCCATTCGGATTCCATTAGCCTAGGTTCTATTTGCGGGCTTTGTGAGCGTAGGAGAAGCGGATGCAGGCTATGGCTGGGGGATTAGAGTGGCTTAGGTGTTGGAGGTTTTACTATGAGGGAGGAGAGATTATTTCGGTGGAGTAAGAAGCAGAGGAAGGAAGAAGAAAAAGAAGGGTGAAGAGGGAATTTGAAAAAAAGAAAGAAAAGAGATAAGATTTTGGTTCTAGTATAGGTTTCAATTTCTTGGTAAGTTCCTAAGTTAGATTACCCAAATATTATTTTTTTAACTAGTATATGAGGAGGGGGGAGGGAGATTACGGTTGTGAGGTAAATTGTTATTTGAAATGAATTGATTTTATTTAATTTATTATAAAATATGAACGGTAGAAATTATATGTTTTGAGAAAATTTGGATTGTGTAGGTAATTTACAAGTGAAAATAGAGGTGACAACTCGTCGTAGGGATAAAAAATGCAATTTTAATTTAAAAGTAAATTTTAGCATTTTTAGGCATATACAATTCCAATCGATTAAAACTGAAAGATAAAAAGATTTAAAGTTATATTAATTTGGTTGAGTGGCTTTACAATCAAATATTCAGGTATGAACGACCACATGTAAATTTTAATAGTTAAAGTTTAAGAAATATCATATGATTATATAAATGTTTTCATAATTAACAATATTCTTGAAAAGAAAAGCACTGAATTATTTATTATTTTCTTATGCAAATATTATATAAATATGTCTTTTATATTAAGTCATGAGTATGAAATTCACAATCAAATATGAGTGCATAAATTTAAAACCTAATGAATATCATATTAGTTGAGGGTTGACAATGAAATGTTATAATACATGTACATGTGGGGCAAAAGAGACCCCAATGGAGGCATTATGACTTTGATGTAATTCAATGACGATAATATCAGGTTTTAACTAGGCTCCATTAAGCATTATTATAAGCTATAAAAGCTAACTTTATATTATAAATAAAACTAGAACCTGAGATAGCTAATTATGATATTATTTACAAACTTCAAATAAAATGCAAGATACTTATATACTAATCAAGTCTACCTATGATACTTCAAATAAGTACGGTGTGATGTTTCAATCATTAAGGAAATGATTTGTGTCTACCTATAATATTGTAGCAGATCTGCTATTATTACTAATTCCTATGATCATGTATATATTTTCAATTATTTTATAAATTAGCTTATAAGTTTAGTTCCGTTATAAATGAAATCATATTATTAATTATATTGTTCATTATATTCTTTATTAGAATTGTATATCTTTCTGAACCTCATAGCTCACCAGATTTTTATTCTGATTGTTGTTACAAGAAAGACAAAGATAACGTGAAAGCAAAATAACCTTAGGTCAATATAAAGCTTTATATTTTATTGTATAACTGAGTAAGTGGTCTGCAACAGAGATATGTAGATTGTTTATTATTATAATATTTTAGGGTTCTTAATAGTTTTCTAATTATATATGTATTATCTAACTGAAATATTTTGTATGCTTTCATTTTATAGAGAAATGTAGTGAACTATAGCTTGAATATATTTAGAAATGATATTTTAAATGTTGAAGAATTTTAAGTTTTCTCTATTGCACCCTACATTATTAATGGTACATATCGTGGGGTGTGACAAACTACATGAATCTTTTTTCTTCATTGTGTCTTGATAAGAGTCAAATTCTCATTCAAATTTAATTAAAAAGGTAATTTTTATTTTTTTATTTTTTAAAAAATTTTACAATAAAAAATGTTATTTCTAATATTTTCTAATCAAGTCTTTTTGGTATACCTCTACCACTATTAACATAGGTCAAATCTAATACATCTACTGATGAGGGCATCAGATTTCGACATGTGTACCATCGCCGGGGACGACGATCGACGGCCCTAATTCAGAGCCTTTATCTATGATACTTTAGTTCTTTTCTTTTATTAGTTATTTCATGTTTCCGTTTGTACCCCTATGAGGGATGTTTCACTTATTGTAGCCCAAGGGCATTTGTGACTTTATGCTTTTATTTTTCTGTAAGCCTATATATAAAGGCTTGTATCATTGTATTGGATTATTATTGGATGAATGAAATTTTTCTATGTTCTCTTTGTGAGTGCAATGAGGATCTCTTGGTGAGTTCTTCTTCGAGATCTCTTAGTGAGTTCTCTAGGTAATTGTAGCCCTAGCATTTTCTTTCTTCTACTTTCTTTTCCTCCTCCCCTCAAGAAGCTCTACACAAAGTCTCCCCAAGCCTTGCCGCCGGCCTCCCCAAGGTTTTCCCCACCACCGGCCAAGCCCACCACCACCGGCCGCCCCTTGCCGAGGGCTAGTCCTCACCGGCCGAACCTCCCCCCCCCCTCCAT